TTTTGTTTGTTAAGAACAAGGATGGTAGTACGAGGACCAGTGATTTTATCTTAAGACATAAAGGAATGGATTGATATCGGAATGACCAGTGTATGAATAAAGAAAGTCCCATTGAGTATATTGGGTGAAGAAAATTGAAGTATTTTAGTAAGAAGGTACGTATAAAATTGGGTTAGTCCTTTGAATTTGATGAGTTTACCTGAGTTTGAGGCGTCGTGTTGATGAAAAGGTTGACTTCGTTGTGATAGTCAAGGCTGACTGAGCGTAATGGTAATGAGAGTTAGTGATGGATTGTGACGAGATGCAACTATATAATAAAATTATTGGGTAAGTGAATTTTTGTATAGTAATTACAACTTGCGAGTATCTAAGGTTGTGGTTTTCTAATATATGGTGAGTAACGTGGTTGTATGAAAAATTTTAAGAGATGGTGGGACACCACTTGAATAGAATTTAAAAGTGCTAGAGTCGTAATGAAGAAAATAGTGGGATGTAGTACAGCCATGAGAAAGAGGCGAGAGCAAGAGTATTCTATTTGATTGCAAAGGCTGAAGAGATATTTTCAAACGGTAGATAATTGGGTTCAGAGACGCGTGAATTCATTCGTTTTGTTGTGGCTATGGTAATAGTGTCACAAGTCGTCAGACTGGTTAAAAACTATTGGAAAGGACTTGAGAAAGGAGTGTACAGACATTAGCTCAAGTGTGATGATAAGTGCTTTGTATTTGTTTTAAGTTTAGTAATGAGTACGATTGAATTGTTAGGGAAAGATATTGTAAGATCGATGGAGATGCGATCAATGATAAACGAAGATCCGTGAATTCATAAAAAAATCTTCAAGGTACAATCTAATGTTGATAGAGAAGGGGATTGTGTTATACGGTTAAATTTACAATTCAGATTTTTCATTGTGTGTCTACATTCGTAGTGATATATTTTGTCAAGGTATGAATTTGTAAGGCGAGAAATGATCAATTGTATCAGGTATTGAATCTTTGAAAGGACTTATACCTGGGTTGAGTTGTAAAGTTTATTACTTTTGATTGTTAAAGTATCTAAGAAAGGTTTTCATTTAAAAAACATTGGTTATAGTAAGGTAAATGGTCGGAGTGTTCATAATGATCGTTAGTATTGAGAGTGTGGGCTTCAGTGGAATGGTGTGAAGAGTATGTGCAGCCAACTCAATGGAAATGACTGGTATTGATGCTTCAGATGAAAACCTTTGGTGTTATTCCGTAAAATTCCTATGTGATCATCTATTTAGTTTTGTACATGGTAGTGAGTATGTTTCACTAGCTATGATTACGTGTGTTTTCACTTTTGGGGGTGGATCCCTGTCATGGATACCAATCCTGTGATGTTCCCTTGATGAAGTGGGAAGATTGGGAAGATTTGGTTTATTTCAAATGACATATTTGGTGGTCTTGGAGTTGTTAAATTATTTAGTGGTTCTACATGTACCATCTTGCTTATGAGAATTTATAGAAGAGCTACCATGCGAATTTATGGTTGTCCGACAATGTTAATACTCATCTTGTCATCTAGTTCATCTATCGATTATGTGTGGTTGAAAGTGGGATCATTGGGTCTAACTCTGTTGTTCTTACGAGGTAATCTACAATTTCTAAATCTAGCATTTTGATATTGTTGTTGGAGTGCTTGTATGCTTGGACATATCTATCGATGAGTATCTGATTTCTAAAGACCAAAATTTTTATAACTTAAACTCATGGGAAATTGGGTTGTGAGATGGAGATGTTGATAAGAACTATGATGGTTTGGGTATTATGATGGTGTGTTGGTTGGTTCAGGTTCACGTCTAATTGTGGCGAGTTTTGATTTAGGATTTTATCATGGTTCTGTGAGAAAAGATTTGTCCTAATGTTTGTGTCAAAGTAATTGATAACATGTTGCAGACATGTGTACGACCAACTTTGGTGTTTATTGGGAATATCTTTGTTGTTAGCTAAGTGTACATACAACAATAATTATCACTCGAGTATAGTGATGACTTCATTGAGGCCTTGTATGTGAGGATGTGTAGGTATTCAATTTGGTTGGTTTGGGGACGGAGATTATATCATAAAGTGAGACTCAGTATTGTTAAACAAGACTTCGGTATGAAGAAGAACCGGCTGAAATTCTTGATCACGATGTCCGGAAGCTAAGGACATATGAGACAAGTATCCCAGTAATTCGACGTTTCAGATACTACTCTACCTTTATTTTAGCCAGTTGATCACTCGGGGATGAGTGATGGGTAAATTGGTATCTATTGTAATGACCTGACTCCGCCGTTATGGAAAAGCCAATGGGAAAAGAATTGGGGCTAGAAAACTTTTCCGTAGTAACTTGAGATCTCCTAGCCTAGTCCAGATTTGGATGAAATCGGAGTCAGGCGAGTCTAGAGAAATTTAGTAACAATTGGGTGATCTAATTATTATTTTGATCATATGAGTAGATAGCTAAGACGTTAAGGAACCCGTATGACTTTACGGAATTGACTTCGGGAGAGTAGAACTCCCAAAACTGATTTTAGCGTGAACGGGTACGTTCTGAGTGTCATGGGATGAAAGTGTGTTGTGAAATGGGGCATAAAATTTCAAGTTCTCTTTCCTAATGAATTGGCTTCCCACAATGAGGTAGTGTTGGAATTTTGTTTTAAATAAAATTGATGGAGTAATAAATATTTTAGATGAAGAAATGTCTTTTGAATGAAAAAAAAAATGTGTCCTTTCATTCTTTGGTTATCACTCATTTATTTAAATCCAACTTTTTGTAATTTCTAGTGTATATTTTTACCAACAATGTTTCTTTACTAAATTTTTCAAAAGACAATTTCTTCTTCGACCTTCTGAAAAAAAATTAAGTTCAAATTCTTGCTTATTAATAATATTTCTTTATTGTTTGCTTAATGCAAAAATTCATATATCCACTAAATTTATTTACGTACAATCCCATACAATCTCACAGAAGAGAGGGAGAAAATATTGTTCTAGTTTTACACGTATTTCAAATCTTCAATTCTCTGAATTCTTTATTTATATTATCAACTCTTCGTCTTTCCGTTCCTTTTTTTTTTTCTGTTCTTGATATATGTTTGCCAATAATAGGTACTTCAGCCAAATCAAAATTCTTCACCAATAACATCATTATTTATATTGTCAAATCTTCGTCTTTCTGTTCTTCGTATAATTTTTTGTTCTTGATATATGTTTTCCAACAACTAATTCAACCAAATCATAACTCTTCACCAATAACATCATTATTTATAACAAATGGGGACTTTGAAACAAGGATGGAGCTAGCTTTAGTTACGAGTTTAGCAGAATCTAATACATTTGGCTCAACCCCATATTTATAATAAAAGATTATTTATGTCTCGTTATCTAAAATACATTAATCAAGGATTATAGTTCAGAATCCATAAATAAAAAATCTTAAATTTACCTTTCTCTAAAAAGCAAGTTGTAGGGTCGATTCTAAAGGGTAGAATATGAGGGATGTGTCTTAGACCCCAAATTTAAGGGCCCCTATCTTTTTTTTAGCAATCATAAAATTATATGTTTTCTTTAAGAGTACTATCTGTAGAAAAACTTTTTAAGAAAAATCATTGAAAAGGAAAGAATATTTTTTAAATTCAAAAAATCTATATAGTAATATTTGACTTGCTTAATATTTTAGGTGAACTTTTTTATAATTAAAATTAATAAAATCTTATCTAAAATTAACAATTTCTCGAGAAATATTATATTGATATCCACACACCTTCAAAGTGTTTTGGAAATTAAACTATATATATTTTAGTGTCAACTAGGCCATGAACAGTGAGGCATCTACCTGATATGCAAAGCACGAACTTCTCTCAATGGTCGTCTGCGTTATTTAAGTTTATAGACAAGTTGTTACAATTATATATACAAAATTATATTTTTTATATAGTTCTAATCTTATCCTCCTTTTTTTTCAAGAATTAGACTTTAGTACTAGTATATCTATAGTTCCCACTTGTATTGTTTTTGGAGTTAAAATAAAAATAAAAATCTAAACTATCATATTTTCACGAGTTTCATATTTTAACTATCAATTGTTCTATTTAGCAATCTAAACTATCACTCCCTTGTATTACAACACACTTCGATGTTGAGTTGACCTACACGCGCCTGTTGTCCAGTGGGAACAATATTTGGCCAACTCAGAATTGAGATGTGTTTTTAATATAAGGGAGTGATAGTTTAGATAGGTAAAAGATAACAATGGATGGTTAAGATATGAAACTCAAAATAAATAAACCATAAACTCTTGTTTTTATTACATCTCTCTATTTAGAAATGAACTTCAAATTTCTCATTTTAAACATAATTACATGATTTTGTAGCCACATTAAAATGTTTATGGATGTTTCAGGTTATAGGTTTCGAAAGCCTGTCTTTCTTTCTTAAACTATGTAACCGGCCAAACACCATCGCAATCGAGGGGTCTTCAACACCTTATACTATTTTAAAGCTTAGGAATTCAAAAGAACTATCTAACATGACAAGAAATTTGATACCTTCTATAACAATTTCAAGTGGATTTCCAAAATGTATATTCTCCCTTCGTTTAAAAAAATGATTTACTTTCCTTTTTATTCTGTTTAAAAAAGAATAACTCCTTTCTTTTTTTGACAACACTTTATTTTCAACTTTCTACCTGACATGTTTAATTAAAACCACAAAGATTAGAAAAACATTTTGGTACATTTGACGCAACTTTAATTTAGAACCACAAGATTGAAAAATTCTATTTTTCTTAAACTTCGTATCAAGTCAAACTAGGTCATCATTCTTTTTGAAACAGTGGGAGTATTATCTATCTATCTATATATATATATATATATATATATATATGTGTGTGTGTGTGTGTGTGTGTGTGTGTGTGTGTGTGTGTGTGTGTGTGATGAGGGAAAATATAGCTATATCACTTCAAATAAAAACTAGCTAAACCTAAAGTATAACAAGATGGCTTTTCTTGCCTTTATGCTTCTTGTTCTACCTATGTTAGCTATGTCAATAGAGAACACAAACATGATGAGCAACAACATAGCAAAGCCTGGCTGCCAAACAAAATGTGGGAGCTTGACTGTTCCTTATCCATTGTATTGGTATAGATGATGGTTGCTCTATACATCCTAAATTTGACATATGGTGCAACACTTCCTCGAACCCTCCTATTGCCTATCTCAACACCGGAGCCACGAATGTACTCAACATAACAACTAAACCAATGGAGGTCATCGACATATCAACAGCCAAATACGTATTAGAAACGTGTTGGCAAGCAAATGTTATGAAGAAAATGGTGAACTATCTGCTCAACAACTTGTGTTTCTCAATACAGGAGTGTCGTTTTTCACGTTATCTGAGAATGATAACAAGTTGATTCTTATAGGATGTGATGATTTGGCTATGGTTTTTGGTTTTTCGTTATATGAAGGGAAGAATTTCAGCACTGGTTGTATGACAACTTGTTCAAGAGGTCAGGATGTGAGCAATAATGGGACATGTTCCAGGATTGGTTGTTGTCAAGCCGCGATCCCTAAGGGGTTGACGACTTATTTAGGTTTTGTAAATAGCCCCGGAAACCACACTAATGTATGGTCCTTTAACCCTTGTAGCTACGCGTTCCTTGGCGATCATGAAAAGTTCACATTTAGGGGTACATCAGACTTCATGGACCCAAACTTTGTGGACAGAATAGTGAATGATGTTCCTATTGTGATTGACTGGGTAATTGAGACTAAAAATTGCAGTGTGGTTAGAAACTCAACAACTTATTCATGTATGGAACATAGTCTATGTATTAATTCTGAAAGTGGACGTGGAGGTTATCGTTGCATTTGTGAGGAAGGATATGACGGAAATCCTTATCTTAGTCCAGGCTGTCAAAGTTTGTGTGACCATCTCATCAAAAAGCTTAAACTGTTAGAAAGAGTCAAGCACGTGCTTTCAGGAGTTTTGTCTGCTCTAATATCATATTGAACTGTGTGACCATCTCATCTAAAAGCTTAAGTTGTCAGAGGTACATTAAATTTCTGATGAACTAATTTGAGCATTCTTGTAACAGATATCGATGAATGTGCAACGAGACCTTGTGATGGAATTTGCAAAAACACTCCAGGAGGGTTTGAGTGTTCGTGCCCGAAGGGATATTTTGGCGATGGAAAGAAGGGACGTGGTTGCCAGAAGGAGCATGATTTCCCCATCTTAAAGTTATCTCTTAGTATGTAAACACAATTACAATGGCATGAAGTTTCAATTTGTCAAACCAATATGGTTTGAAATTATAGAACCAAGCTTAAAATGATTTAGGTAGTTTTAGTCTTTAATTATCTTAGTCAATAAGCATATCACTATAATAGGGAGATTTTACAGTTACCAGTACATGTGGAGAGGAGACTCTCCAAACTTATATAATCAACATAAACTATCTTTAACATAGGAAAAAACTCAAATATGTCATCAAACTTTCAGAAAAGATTCATCTATGCCATCGGTTAAAAGTTTGGTTCATTTATGTCATTTCTGTTTGAGAAAGAAGGTTCATTCATGCCATTATTTGTTAACGGAAAACAGTTCCAATTTTGCAAAATTATTTTTTTACATGGTCAATTATGATTTGGTCACGTCACTAATTAAATCATTTTTTTAAAGGGAAAAAGTTTAAATATGTCATCAAACTTTGAAAAAAGGCACATCTATGTCATCAGTTAAAAGTTTGGTTCATCTATGTCATTTCAGTTAACAGATAATGACATGGATGAGCCTTTCTCAAGTGGAAATGACATAGATGAACCAAACTTTTAACGGATGATATCAATGAGTCTTTTCTCAAAATTCGATGGCGTATTTGAGCCTTTCTCAAAAATAAAAAACCCCTCTTTTGAGACATAATTCCTCACACACTATTCCTTAGATACACAACTTATTTACCATATTTTTTAAATTTTTCCACCATTTGAAAAAATTACAAAAATCCTTACTCCCTCCTATTCTCGGATATATCACTTTACGCGATGTATCGGCGGATATATCATTTTACGCAATGTATCGGTCGGATACATCATTTAACGCGATGTATCGAGACATTGAGTGATGTATCCGATCAAGACGCAATGTATCGGAATGTTAGCAATGTATCTGAAATTGGGACGTGATGTATATTGGGTATGTTTTGTAATTTGGAAAAGAATAGAGATATGATGTAATTAGCTCTTAACACTATGAGATTTACGTAAAAATCCCTAATGTTAATATGAGAAAATAAAGTCTCTTCTTTTTGTTAGGAGAAAAAAAAAACATGTTCCCAATATATATTTTTTTTGACATTCTATTATATATTGATCAAAATAGAAGAGTTTATAAATGAAGTCGTAATACTAACTCAGATTAACCACAAGAATGTGGTGAAATTGTTGGGGTGCCTTTATTAGTCTACGAATACATATCTCATGGTACACTTGACCATCATATACATACCAATAACGGAGAAATGACTTGGCTTTCTTTCCAAAATCGGTTTAGAATCAGCAGATGCTTTTAGTTATCTACATTATGCAGCTTCTATCTTACATAGAGACATCAAATCCGCTAATTAATATTCTATTAGATGATTATTATACAACAAAAAATGTTGATTTCGGAGGATCCATCCAGGTTAAGACCTTTTGATCAAGCTGACATGAGTTCACTAATTATACCGGGTTATGTAGACCCTGAAGCTATACAAATGGGATTGTCAGATAAGAGTGACGTTTATAATTTTGGTGTAGTTGTTAACAGGACGAAAAGCTATTGATCATCTCACTTTACCCAACAAAGAGAAAAGCTTAGCCGCATATTTCATAGCTTCTATGAAGGAGAATCGATTGTTTCAAATTCTCCATCATAGGGTTTTGAAAGATCAACTTAATGCTATGGGTGAGCTTGTCGTTAATTAGATGTCTTAATATAAAAGGTGAAGAAAGACCTACCATGAGAGAAGTCGTCAATGCATTGGAAGGATTCACTAAATATAATATACGTTCTTGGGCTCATGATCTTGATCAAGAAAACGATATTCAACTACAAATGGGAGAAATGATAAGTGAACAGAATGATCTATATATATATTGTGTTAACGCGCACGTCTAACAACTCTCATACATCATCATCAAGTGTTCAACAAAGCTCTGAATATAACATCAAACATGAAGAAGATAACCTTGACAATACTTCATAAATTTGTGTATTTGGATCGATGTTCATTTGATCGTTCATTCATTGCTATAAACAGCCCAACCTGAGGGTCTTCTTTTGGAAATAGTCTTTCTGCTTTCACAAATCACAAGGTAGGGTAAGGTCTCCGTACCATACACACTACCCTTCTCAATATGAGATTACATTGCATATGTTATAGTTGTTGTATTCGTGTTTACTTATTGCTTATGTTACCTATTCAATAATAATAATTACGTATTGCTTAATTAATACTCTCTCTGTCCCTAATTACTTGCCCACATTTTCCTTTTTAGTTGTTCCTAATTACTTGTCCATTTTGACAAATCAAGAAAGGACAAAAAAATTTACCTATTATACCCTCAATTAATTACTTCAAAAAGGTAGGACTTCTTGAAAATATTAAGTTTTTAATTCATCCACTTCATAATTAATAAGAGTAAAATGGTAAACTCACTATGTCAATTATTAATTTCTTAATTGGTATGTCAATTCAAAAGTGGACAAGTAATTAGGGACAGAGGGAGTATGATGTAATAGTGGTCTCTAAATGAGTATCAAGTTTTAATTTTCTTATCATTGACCCTAATCTCTTTCTAAATGTTAAAGTAGGTTAGAGTCTCACACGTTGGTTGGAGAATGGATGAGTCCTTTGCTTAGATGGACTTTACAATCCTCCCCTCGTGATCATGAACTAGCTTTTGAGGTTGAGTTATACTCAATTGTCATATCTTTATATGGTATCAGAGTCGGGTCCATCCATGTTTGGACTCTCAGTATAGTTGAGATTGGGCATGAAGGAGGGTGATAAAGTGGGTTAGAGTCCCACATGATTGGGATCGGACGGGTAACTTGCTTATATGAACTCAAACAATCTTCACCTCATGAACTACCTTATATGATCCTCCTTGTCAAGTATTTGATCTACGCAAATTATGTTGGATAGTACTATTGAATTCATCGCTTCTAGTTCTTTAAATAGGTAGATTTTATGCTTGCTAACCAATAAAAAAAAAACTTCATCTTCATTTAGCATAGTAGGAATCTAGGTTATTGGGTGTTTTGTACTCCAAGAATATTTTCAGCCCCTTTCAATAATAACAAATCGATTTGAGCTTGAAATTTTCGATTTGATTGTAGACCCACTTTAAAGCTTGAAGCTTTGTCCATCAATGGTGGTAGTATTTTCTCCAACCCCTTTCAACAATAACAAATGGATTTGAGCTTGAAATTTTCGATTTGATTGTAGACCCACTTTAAAGCTTGAAATATTGTCCATCAATAATGGTAGTATTTTCTCAACCCCTTTTAATAATAACAAATCAATTTGAGTTTGAAATTTTTTATTTGATTGTCGACCCATTTTTAAGCTTGAATTTTTGTCCATCAATGGTGATATTGTTTCCAACCCCTTTCAACAATAATAATTTGATTTGAACAAAAAATAATGAAATTGATTTCATGATTTTGATTGAAATAATATGTTTCTGGATTTTGTTTGTGAGATTTGGAAAATGAATTGAAGAACATTTTTCCTTTTTTTTTATTTCTAATGGAGATGATAAGCTATGTTTTTATTTTTAATTTTAAATGTCATGATATTTTAATGTATAAATTATAGGAACCACATATTATAAGTACTAAATAACATCCTATCCCTTCTAGTTTTCTATTTACCAAAAATCCCTTAAAAATGATGTTTGCGGGATACATAGCGCTGTGCACGGGATACATTAGGTTTGATCCATTCCACATAGCGGGATACATAGCGTTGTGCATGGAATACATTAGGTTTGACACATTCCACATAGCGGGATACATAGCGTTGTGCACGGGATACATAGCGTTTGATACATTCCACATAGCAGGATACATAGCGTTGTGCACGGGATACATGCGGGATACATAGGTAAAATAAGGGATTTTTGAAATTTTTGAAATAAGTAGGGATAAAAGGATATTAAGGTAAGTAAAAGAGTGTAGTTAAGTAATTTGTCCTATTTTAATTTGGGTCATGGGTGGGTAAATTATGAAAAATTGGTGGGTTTTCAATTTTTTGAATAAATAAAATGAGGTAAATAATTTAGATGATGTTATGTGTCAATCTGTCAGTTTTAAGGGTATAGACGATCCAAAATATTGACGGTAAGAATATATACAACCTTAAAATATAACGGAGGATATTGACATATCATTTATGATAGTACGGGAATATATTTATCCTTTTTCCCTTCCTTTTTTAAACAGAAGGAGTACTAATTTTCCATCCATACTAATTAGAATAAACCTTTTTAAATTACTACTATATCAAAAGAATGAACTTCTTCTTCACATTTAGTCTAGGATATTTGTGAAATTTCTACATCATATTAATTTGTTTATCTTGCTTTTTTAGTCTGTTATACATTTGAAAATTATGTTTAAAAAAATACTATAAATCATAGTAATAATTAATGACTTTAAATATTAAAAGACATACAAAATTGATTGATTATTTGTGTCACATAAATTGGAACCGGGGAGGGGGGAGGGGTTAATATATACTATTTGAAAATTACGTAAAGATATACTATAAATCACAATAATAAACAAATTAAAATATTTTAAAATTATATAAGTATTTGAATGACTCTCCAAATGGACTTTGTATCACATAAATTGAAACAAAAGAAGTAGAGATAAGGCACAAATACCCCCTAGACTATAACCGAAATCTCAGAGACACACCTAAACTTAACTAGGGTCTTATTACCCCCAAACTAATTTAAAATGGGTCGGGGGGGAGGGGGTAATAGAAACTTAGTTAAGTTTAGATGTGTCTCTGAGATTTCGATCTTAGTCTAGGGGTACTTATGTGAAGTCGTGCTGACACAGATTCCTATATCTAGTACTATAATAAGTGTGCGATCAATTGTATAAAAATTAAAGAAAAAAATACAAGTTCATTTATGTATGATGAGCTTATTTGATTGATATTTATTACATTAATCATATGAAGAATTACCATTAATGAATTTGAAATGTAATGTTCGACCTAGTTCAATTCTGCAAGTTTTATAATATTAGAGCATAATTTCTTATTTTTTTATGTCTATAATACATAAGTTAAACATGAATTTAAGGGAACACTGGCAATGGTACAACTAATTTCATGTGTTGAAGTTTTTGCCTTATTTCTTAAAAATTGTAATCTCCTCCTTTTTATTGTCGCACACAAGAAGTTATTATCGAATGAAAGTAATGTTTTGTAGAAGTTGTACATAAGTTCGATCAAATATATGTTTGTTGACTGTTGGAGTTAAGGTGGAGGTGTGAATGAAAAATAGAAGAATATTTGTAGCTTTAAGTACATTTTAAATCGGAATTTTCTCCTTTATTGATAATAATAAAGAGAACTTTTGTATTTATATATAGAAACACTTCTTCTGGCTCTTAAAGTAGTTTTGTTAATTCCTTGAAGACTTGACTCTGGACAACAATATTATGAGCTATAAGCTTGTTAAAGGCTATGGGAAAAAAGGAATATCACCTAGGTGCATGATAAAGTATATATACAAAGGGCTTATGACTCAGTAAATTGGGTGTTTATTGAGCAAATTATTGCATTACTTGATTATCTCATGGTGTTTCTTAAAGAAATGATGACAATAACATACTCTCTAATGGTGAATGATGAACCTACAAAGCCCTTTAATGCCAAGAAAGGCTTGAGACAAGTAGATCTCTTGTCACTTCTCCTATGTGGTTTACGAGCTATTGCATAGTAGCGGAGATTTTACCTTGTGCACACCCAGAAGAATAGCGGCTGCGAATTTTCCTTGTCATAAAAAAAAAAACTAGGGGATCTCTTGTCCCCCTTCCTCTTTGTGTTAGCAATGAGACTATTAAAGTCACTTGAGGGCACAACCATGGGCAGAATATTTAAGTCCTTAAGAAGTGTTCAACTAATTTCACAAAAACACAAAAAAAGAGCACGAAAAAAATTAAAAATATTTACAAATTTTTTTTTTTTAATGTTGGTTTGTGAACGTGCCAAATGACACTAGTATGGACATAAGAGAAGAAATCACAATTAAGCAATCTCAGCCCTAGCACTGGAAAGAAGATGGGAAGAAACTGACTCGAGGCAACAATAATAATATCAACATCAAAAAATAAATAAACCGGTAGCAAAGTATCTTCCGATGGCGAAAGTTTTTTAAATTCTACAACATAACTGAACAAATTCCAGTACAACTATGAACTTGAGGAACATTTGTGACATAAGATTTCAGATCAAACACTCTCCAATGTCGCGGGTAGAAGCAAAGAGAGATCACGATTCTGCAGCAGCAGACTGTATACAGCAGAACCATTTTTTCTGAAAAGCAATTGCATACACAGAGGTTATTATATGGAATTCATGAATCTAATTCGATGATCGAAAAGATTATCAATTGGCAAAACTAACAGCTTCTCCCAGGACTAAAAGCACATAAATATAATGTGAACCTCCTATGTATAGAATTGATGAACACAATCAGTTCTTGGATAATGCATAACTGAAGGGCCAATGAGATAGTTTCCTGTTTGCCCACTTATGAGAAATTTCTCGAGCAAGAGCAGCTTATATACGTGAGTGTGCACCAACTATGTAGATGCTATATGCATGTTGTTTATCTTACATTTGAATTCAGTAGTACAACAAAATTCCAATGTTAGCATCAGTATCAAAATCAAACTAGGATTCATGATTACAGAAAGCAAGCAAAGGCAAAACACAGCTCAAACTGTAATGCTCAAGTAAGAAGCCTCTTATAGAAGCGATAGTGTAACTGCATACAAAGCCATCATATAATAATTAGAAGATATACTAACGAACGTTAGTTCTTTACATTTTGTACCGATAATGTTTCATTTTATGAGTTGCACTCCATCCATTGTTTTTTCCGATTTGCCTCCCAATGTATGCAGTATTTCTTAATGTGCGAAATACCCTTTACTAGTTCCATGATTTGCTCCTTATGATGTGTTCAATTTTCTAATTAACATCCTATCCTTTGCAACATCATATGATACATTTGTGATGGGACAAAATAAAAGTAATACAATTTCAAACCATTATATCACTATGAAGGAAATAATTCATTTGTCAAGGGGGCATAGGCATCTTTCCAACAAAGTGTAAGGTACTTATCCTGCTTGCAGACAACAACACAGGTTAGTGGCACGTCGATCTGACTATGGTAATCCAAGTGAGCAAAAAAAGACTTTTGGCTTGTTTCGTAATAGCGACTTACTTTTCCAAAAAATACACTGTTGATTAGCCACAAAAAAAGAATATTTGGAATTGGAGACAATTGCATGAACAAAAGGTGAACAAGTCCAATACTACCCCAACGATAACATGAAAAATACTAAACTTAATAATGGCTATAGTCTTTGGCACCATAACTAAAAGAAATAATCAATTCTAATTGACAGTGAAAGACACAAAAAAGAGCATATATGTAATTGAAATAAATGATGTGATAGGTTGGTTGAAGAAAAAAAAAACTCCCTCCGTTTCAAAAAGAATGACCTAGTTTGACTTGGAACGGGGTTTAAGGAAAGAAAGAAACTTTTTAATCTTGTGGTTCTAAATTAAAGTTATGTCAAATGTACCAAAATGTCCTTTAAACTTGTGGGCTTAAACATGCCAGGTGAAAAGTTGAAGTTAAAGTGTTGCCAAAAAAGGAAAGGGGTCATTCTTTTTTAAACAGACTAAAAAGGAAATTGGGTCATTCTTTTTTTAAACAGAGGGAGTAATTAGTAAAAAGGAATGCAAGAGACAAACTCGTAAAGCCAGCAAGCTATTTGCACAGACTCTTAAAAATTGTCGAGAGGTGCGTGTCAGATCCTCAAAAAATAGCGTATTTTTGAAGGATCTGACACGGGTACGGCAACATTTTTGGAGAGTCCGAGCAACTAGCCAACAAGTACTCAAGCAATTACGCCTAGAAGTTGCTCTGCTGGCGTGGACAAATATTATTCATGTCCTGACCCTTCACATATGATTTATTTTATGATTTTTTGTAAAGGATAGGGTGCCAAAAAAAAAATTGATACATTGAGAAGGAAATTGGGAAACCAAAAAGAAAAGAACAATAATGCAAATTATAAAAACGCAAACACGTTATGATGCAAATCATAAAAATGCAAAGCTTAGAATGCAATAATAAAAAATAATCCACACATTATCAATTTAAAATGCCAAGGACCCAAACAAATGTTCGTCATTTTTGTTTCAGAAAATGACTATGTTGCTTTATGCACATACTTTACAAGGGAAATGACATGATATTTCGCGTGCCAGTTAGTTGTTAGGACATAAGATTTAAAAGCTCATGCTTTCAAATAATCTAACAGCAGATAAAACATCACGCTTTCAGTGATAATCTAATAGCACAACATGTTAATATTTGTATAAACTTTGTGAAACAATTTCCTCAATCATCAAAACTGAGGCATAAAATACTTAAACAAATGCATGTCTAGCACACACTGCTAGACAAAGACTCATAGACAAGGCCCACAACTTACTGATTGAAGCTTTCCAAGAGTTGCTCCATGCTTATATGTAGGGTCACCCTTTGGTGGAGAGTTTGTATTGCCACCACTTCTCTTCTCATTTCGAGCTTTGTTAAAGATGACCGTGTAACCCTCAGCAGAAGCTGGGTCATTAACATCCCACTCACCAAACTTAGGAAGTGGGTGGCCTTTTTCCTGTAGAGGTCAAAAGATAACTATCGGAGCTGCAATTCTATGTTAATATGAAAAAGGCTGCAAAACATTTTACTGATAAAGAAACATCAGCAATGGTATAAATATCTTTTGCCAAGTAGAATTCCTAAATATATATATATATATATATATATATATATATAAAAGATTACAGAAGAATGATAACAGTTTAGCACTAAATTAAGGAGTGGAGGTGAAAAATAGAATAGACCCTTGCAGAAATGCTGGGTAAAGATGCGTACAATAGACCTTTGTGGTATGGCCCTTCCCTGGACACCACACATAGTGGGAGCTTAGTGCACCGGGCTGCCTTTTTTTCTTTTTTCTTTTGGAAGAGGTCAAAATTACCAATTTTATAGGTGACTCTTTTAAAAACTAATAAGGAGCTAGTGCTGGACCTTTCTATACAGAATATCTGGAACTCAAAAATTAATTTGTCATCTAATAAAATAATTGATTGGAACCTTCATATCAGAAGTCCATTTAGGCAAAAACAAACTTTCAACAATATATATTACACATAAATGCCTTGCAATGTGTGATAGCATGAAGCAACCTGAAAAATAGATTTTTCTTAACTACCAAACAATCACTTCTTTTTATTTGCTTTCCCACCTCCCCTCGGTATACAATGCGGAACTGAAATCTAATGTATTTTTGTGGATTCATATATAGAAAAGACGGCTGACCTGAACCAAGTAAAGTGTATCAAGGACGATAATGGTGAAGTGTTGGTCGAAGAGGGTGTCTAGTCGGACACCCTTCGCCAGAAAAATTACAAAATATATATATATATATATATATATATATATATATATATATATATATATAGGTCAAATCTTACTTTATATTGATATATGTAGAATTTTGGACACCCTCCAAAACAATAAAGAACAGTAGCTCAGTGGCAAAGCTAAGTTGCTCGGAATCTCCAAAAATGTTGCCACATCCGTGTCGGATCCTTCAAACATACACTATTTTTGGAGGATCCGACACGCACCCATTGACATTTTTGAAGAGTCCGAGAAACATAGGGCAAAGGTGCGACAACATGTGCAGGATGTCCAAGTTCGAATCCTCGCACCTACATTTTGTTTAATGTGATCTGCTTTAAAATTTTAAAGTTATTAAAAAAACGAGATACTTTGATGTGGATAGAGCAGTAGCTCAGTGGCAATACTGTACAAAAATCTGTTGGTCACTCAAGTTCTATTCCTCATGGCCACTTTTTTTCTATTTTGGCTTTAATTTACCTATCCATAGTTTGGACTTTGGACACCCTTCACGAATTTTCTAGCTACGCCACTAGGCATATGTATTCCCACAAGCTCTTGAATGAAGAAGGGGATAGAAATATCGTTTCCGGGAGTTGGAGCATTCCGAGATTCATAGAGATTTTGGGTATTGTAGGTACATACAGGCTTCGGAGGTTAAGTGGGTTATTCGTAAGATGAGAAGGGGAAGAGTGACTAGGCTAGACAAGACCCCAATGGAGTTTTGGAAGAACGAAAGTGAGGCAGGTATGGAGTGGCCGACTCACTAAGTTGCTTAATGTCATTTTTCGAACGGCTAGAATGTCAGAAGAATGAAGGTAGAGTACAATGATGTCGTTGTACAAGAAACAAGGGCACTATTCAACATTACAACAACTATAGGGGTATCAAATTGCTAAGTTATACTATGAAAGTTTGGGAAAGGGTGGTCAAAATAAGAATAAGGACGGGTGTGTCTATATCCAAAAACCAATTCGGCTTCATGTTGGGACGATAGACTATAGAAACCATCCACCTTATAAGAAGATTGTTGGAGCAATAAAGGGATAGGAAGAGCCTTACACATGGTATTCATCAACTTAGAAAGGACATATGATAAAGTTCCTAGGGAGGTCCACCGGAGATGTATCGGTAGATTATATTAGGGCGATTAAAGACATGTACAAGAGAGACAAGACCCTAGTTAGAACTTGGACCAGTGGGAGGTGACTCAGAACAATTTTATGTCATGATAGGATTGAACCAGGGGTCATCCCTTAGCCCATTTCTATTTTCCTTAGTGATGGATGAATTGACATGACCTACTTAAAGGAAGGTGTCATGATGCATGTTATTTACATGTAACACAGTGTTGATAGATGAGACGCACAACAAAGCTATGACAGAAAGGAAGTTTGGAGACAAATGCTAGAATCTAAAGGTTTTAAGTTAAGCACCACTAAAATAGAGTACCCAAAGTGCAAGTTAGTGACATGACACATGAGGCGGATGTGGAAGTGAAGATCGATGCACAATTCATACCCAAAAGAGGAAACTTCAAGTATCTTGAGTCCATAATCCAAGGAGATGGGGAGATTAAAGATGATGACATATATCGTATTGGAGCGAGGTCAGAAAAACAGAGGCTTGCATCTGGGGTACTATGTGATAAGAATGTGTCGATAAGACTTAAAGATAAGTTCTATAAAGTGGTGGTTAGACCAACATTGTTGTATGCGGCAAAGTGTTGGCAATCAATAACACCCATGTTCGAAAGATGAATGTAGTGGAAATGAGGATGCTCAAATGGATGTATATACACACTAAGAGAGACATGATCAAGAACGATGGCATCCGTGGAGAACAAGATGAAGAAAGAGAGACTGAGATGGTTCGAACATGCGAAGAGGAAGTGTGTTGATGTGGCAATTAGGAGATTTGAGAGATTAGTTGTAACAAGAGTTAGGAGAGGTAGAGGTAACCCGAAAAAAATACTAGGTGGGGTGAGGGGTGATTAGACAAGAAATGATACTATCTATTGCTTCATTTTGCTCTATGTCTTGATATTTTGTTGTTATCTTTTTCTTGCTACCCTTCTCCAAATATCTTCTCTTTTTTGAGTTGAGCGTCTATCAAAACCAATCTCTCTATCCACAAAAGTAGGGTAAGGTCTACGTACATCTTACCCTCCCCAAACCTCACTTGTGAGATTACACCAGGCATGTGGCTTATACTTTTTGTCATGTTTCCGCAACAAAATTCAAACTACAAGTCTACTATTTGCATTATCTAAATGCTACAATCATAAAATAATGAATATTTATCACTGTTACTATCTAATCTATCTAATCACACAGTAAGATAGATGCTAGAATAGTCTAGTCTTACATGAATATCTGAATATTTAAAAGCCATATCCAAATGGACAACCTACCCTTACCGACGGAAAAAGGAAATTAACTATGAGGTAAGGGAAGTGACAAATTTCAGGTAAGAAGTTCAGAAAAAAAAGGTAGAAGGAATCTGTAAGAGTGGAACGGAGGATAAGGGATTTCCAATTCTTTTATTACAACAATTTAATTATAGGGATATGGGGCCGAAGTAGAATATTGAAAAATTAAGGTTAAAGAATTTTTTTTTGATGACCGTGGTGTTTGGGTCAGCTTTCGTGCACCGAACCTCGACTAATTCCACAGGATACCTTCCACCTCCTACCAGCAACAGGTATCATGTAACTCTGTCCACCAAGGCTAAAACAGATGGAAAGAATCACCTAGTGTTTTTTGTCTCCACGGAGTTTTGAACCTGAGTCCTCAGGATTCACAACCAAGTCATTGACCACTAGGGCACACCCTTGGTGCAAAGAATTGAAAGGCAAAACTTCTAATAAACCCAAAATCCCAATCCAAGTCTTCCCGTCATTTTTTCATATATAGGTCCCCATTGCCTTCTTCTCTCTTCTATGATCTATATTCTTCCTTCTTCGAAAATCGAAGGTGCAATCAACATTATTTTATCAACCTTCAAGTTCCCTTCAAAGACAACTTTATTTTCAAGGAAATTTCATTTTATTTTCTCATATTTTCTAGGTTTGAAGTATATTTCTCTTTTCTCTTATTACTGTTGTTAGCGTAGAGAAGGAACCCAATAGATTCTTCAATCATTCTCCTTTGTTGTGTTATTATTTGTGTTGGTGAGAATGAAGAAGCCAATAGATTCTTCAATTGTTCCCTTTTTGTGTTATTATTCTTATTGGTGTGACAAGGAACCAAACAAATCTTCAAGTGTGATGCATCTGATTTTGGAGAAACTCGTGATGTATACATATTGAAACAGAACTTGCACAATTTCATGTAAACAATAACGTATTTCCTAACAATCTCTCTACCCCCACAAATGGTAGGGATGAACTTTGGTATTTCCTACCCTCCCCAGATCAACTTGTGGGATCACAATGGGTATGTTGTTGTTAACAACGTATTTCCTAAGCAACATGTGGTTGTTTATACATTGAAATTGACTTGCACAGGCTTCATGCATTAACAACCAAATCTTTCTTTAAAAGCATGTTGTTTACACATTGAAACTGACTTACACAAGTTTCATTTGTAAACAACTACAAGTTATAACTTATACCATATATTTACTAGTTCATGTGTAAATAACAACATATTTATCAAACAACATGTTGTTTACATATTGAAATGGAAGTTGCACGGGTTTCATGTGTAAACAACAATATATAAAGACATTTAACTTTGGGGGAAATATTAATTGGTTGTATTAGTTTTTGTGTAAACAAGTAAATATTGTTTAAACAACCTGTAGTTATTTATAACTTAGAGAACACTATTCATTTGTTGTGTTGTTGACGATTTTGAGATGATTTATGTATGAAGATAAAATGACAAAGAAAAAACAGTCATTTGTTGCTTATAAAAGAAGGCCTTGAAAAAAAAAGCTAGGACAACAGAAGAAGAGTCTCCTCTGGTCGAAGATGCATATAGGCTCCAAATAGCTCAGCTAACAGAGGAAGAAAAACAAATAATAAATGATCAAGTAATTGATGAAGTGGTAGAGGAAAAAGGGATCCTGACACGTCAGAAAAGAAAAAAAGAAAATCAAATAATGGTTGAAGAAAATCAGGAGAATGATGAAGAAGAAGAAATGATCTCGTCAGTTTATTTTTTGATGAAGCGTGATCTCGTCAGTTTATGGTTCAGCCTAGAGAAGAAGAAAGTGTAGAAGATGGAAGTTCAACCGTCAACGACTCAAGAACAAGAAAATGAAAGTTGTCTTCGAAGGGGAACTTGAAAATGAGAGAAAGAATGAGTTCTTTTGAGTATAACCATTGAAAACCACTGGCCTGACTAATCCAGAGTCAAGAGAACCAAAGCACAAGGAGTTGTGTTTCTTTTATGCAATTCTTAAATATATAAAAAATTTGTTTGAAAAACCTAATATACACTAACTCTAATATTCGAATAATACGCGAGCCTAAAGAGAAGAGAGTTCAGTCTACGAAGGGTTCGGGTTATCAGTCCGGATCAGTTCCACGCAGGCCGCAGAGAAAGAGACAAGGAGGAAGAAGGGGGCACTACGGGAAGAGCATCCAAGACGCGCTAAGGCAAAGGCATAGAATAGTAATAATTTGTAAGCTAAAAAGAAGCCTCACCACTACCACCACCACAAATTACTTCCTAGTTAAAATAGAGATCAAAAACAGAACAACCATATATTCATATTATTATGGAGAGAAGTTGAGAATGACAATAGACCAAATATATCAACAATTTATGGTGAACAACAATATGACTAGAAAACAATTGAAGTTCAAAAAGGGCACTTGCACAACAACTCCACAAGCATATAAGAAGCCTCGAGTTTGAAGTATTTTATATAGCTAAAAACATATAAATATAGCACCCCAAAAGGGTGTGGCACAGTGATCAATGAAACGTCTCATGTTCAAAACAAGGTGATTTCTCCATATATTTCCTAGTCTGGATGGACAGATATATGTTGTTGCAGGGCACAAAAAATAATAATAAATTAGATGAATTGACTCGGATTTCTTTCACAAAATGGAGAATCAATAAATTTGTAGCCGGAAAAAAAACCTAGAAGTCTGTTTCGTTTCTTTCTACAAAGACACAAAAATCAAACAAAATAATACGGATATAGCTATTAAAATTCGACCCAACATATACATATATGAAGAAGAAAAAATTGAGAATCATACCGCCATGAGTATAAGGTTTAGAGAGGAAAATCCCTTTATTTGTTGGATTGATTCGTTTGTGTATAGAAAGGAGGAAAGAATTTTTCTCTCTCTGTATGTAAAGAAGGAAATGGAAAATGTTAAGAGAGAACCAAAAAGAGGTGAAGAGAAAGATGTACAGTTGGCTTTAAAACTGGGCCACTCTTCTTTGGGCCCACACTCAACTTTCAAATTCCTTTTTCTCATTTTATTTTATTTTTTTAAAAAGGGCAAACAAACGTTTTTTTTTGTGTTTTCAAAACTATAGTCCATAATTCGATAAATAATGTGTGTGTGAGAGAGACGTATTTAGATACATTTATTTCGGATATATGTGAAACAAATAATGTAATTATTTGAACTTGAAAATGAAATGTAATTAATATGTCAAAATTTTAGAAGTAAATCATGTGTCTAATGACTTACCATTTTTAAGTAAAATCATCATTTTTTGAGTTATATCTTTTATTGAAAGATAATCATTTTTTTAATAATAGATGTAGCTTTGTAGTTAAAGTATTCATACCGTATATACTAATTTAATCTATACTTGTTTGTTTGGTTATGAAAACCACCTAATTACATAAACATTAGACTAAGAGCTTGTTTGACAGTGTTGTTGGGACTTGGGAGCTCAAAAATTCGTCGTTTGAAAAAAAAAAAAATCTTCGAAAACCTAGGTGTTTGGCAAACCATAAAATTGTTTTTCAATGGAAGCATAAGTAGTTTTTCTATAATTAGGAAGAAACTAAAAAGTTCTGCTTCTTAAAAACGCAGGAGCAGAAGCAGAAAAATGTTTTTTTCAAGACTAAAATATCTCTTGCATAGATACATATTTACCAATATATCTCTTATTAGTTAATTAGCATATCTCATAAGTTTGGTCAAGATTTATTTAAGAATTTTTTATTTTTTTTTTATATAATAAATTGTATGTTTTATTTTACGTTATGCATTATTATTTTATTTATTATTTTTCAAGATTAGAAAAAAGAAAAAAAAAATAACAATTAAAGATTTCAGCCCTCCAAAAAAAGGTAAATATTGATTGAAAATTTAAATGTGTACATTTTAATTTAATAAAAAATAAATTAAATTAAATTTTAATAAATATTTAAAATAGTTTCTCTCTATAAAATAATTTTAATATTAAAAGTACATTCATAGTTGCCTTTTTTCGTAATTTGACTCTCAAAAGCACTTTTCCTTAAAATTAAAAAAAAAAAATAGTGAAACACAATTTACTCATGAAAAACACTTTTCAAATAAATTAGTCAAACACAAATTGCATTTTTCAAAAACACTTTTCTGAAAAAACTATTTTTTTTTAAAAAAATGCTTCTGAAAATAAGCAATTTTCAACTGTAATGTCAAATAGACTCCAATATAGATATCACACCTAGGTTTGTTTGGACATGTTAATTCACTTTTTTCAATAAAAAATACATTATTTGAAAAGTGAAATTTTTATAATTGATATATATATAAGACTAATTATTATTAGTTATGACATTATTCTTTATCTTTCAAGTTTTAACATTAAACGGGATATAACATTTTGTTAAATAAAAAAAAGTTAGAAAAAGCAGAATATAAATTAACAAACAAATTAAAAATAGTAATGATAATTAATAATAGACATAAAATAAGGAGAGTCATAATAAAAAGAATATTTATTTTCCTTGTTTACATCTGTCTTTCCTCTCACCTGTTAATTGTCTTTCAAAATAGATTTTTTTACAATTTTTTCTTACTCAATATTTTCTCTATTTTTCTTTCTCAACTCAAAACAGTGATCATCACTGTATAGAATTTGTCCTCCTAATTTTATACCAACAAAACGGTAAAAATAATATGAAAAAAAAAAGGCACAATTTTTAATTTTATACGAAAAGAACTGCATAACATTCTATTAGCAGTGGATAATCTTCTAAAATTTTGAAGTCTAAAAAGTCAAATCTATATATATATAAATCTGAATCTAGAATCGTTGATGTGGCATGTCTCTAAGGGCTAGAAAAATATTTATCTTTTTTGTGGTTTTTTTGACCATTTTTCAATTTTAAAATACAAAAAAAATAAACACTTAAATATTGAAGATAGTCACAATTAAAGTCATTCAATTATAATTACTCTAATGTACGTTATCTATCTTTTCATATTCGTATGTTACTAATTTGCTAACTATAAATACTAAAGCAAATGGCATACACTGCACAACATTCTGTCTTTTTTCATTCATAATTTCCTTTCAATTTTTCTTCTTTTTATTTTGCTTCTTTTCATTTGAAATTGGAACTCTTTTTCCAAGAAGTTTCTTTCTTCTTTTTCCCTTTTTTAAATTATTTTTTTATTTATTTTAGCATTATTAGTGTTGTCTCCACAATTGTTATCTTTGTATGTAATTTTCATGCCTAATTTTTATTTGTTAGAATATGGGAGAGAGCAACATATATACGATCTTATTTGTG